ACCGGCCATGAAGGTGGGCTCCTGGGCCACCCCTCAGGACCAGGCCTCCTCCCTCAAACTGGACCCTGCCTTCAGACTGGGCCTCACGTCTCAGAATGGGCTTCCCTCATCAGACTGGACCCCGCCTTCAACCTGGGCCTGCCTCCCCCATCAGCCTGGACCACACCTTCACTCTGGGCCTCCCTCCCCCATCAGACTGGACCCCGCCTTCATATTGGGCCTGTCTCTCCCATCAGACTGGACCCCGCCCTCATACTGGACCTCCCTCCCCCATCAGACTGGACCCCACCTTCACTCTGGGCCTCCCTCCCCCATCAGACTGGACCACACCTTCACTCTGGGCCTCCCTCCCCCATCAGACTGGACCCTGCCTTCATACTGGGCCTGTCTCTCCCATCAGACTGGACCCCGCCCTCATACTGGGCCTGCCTCCCCCATCAGACTGGACCCCGCTCTCATACTGGGCCTGCCTCCCCCATAAGACTGGACCCCACCTTCACTCTGGGCCTCCCTCCCCCATCATACTGGACCCCGCCCTCACTCTGGGCCTGCCTCCCCCATCAGACTGGACCCCGCCCTCATACTGGGCCTCCCTCCCCCATCAGACTGGACCCCACCTTCACTCTGGGCATGCCTCCCCCATCAGACTGGACCCCACCTTCACTCTGGGTCTGCCTCCCCCCTCAGACTTGGCTTCCTCCTCTGCCAGGGCCTCCCTTCCCAGACCAGCCAGCAGGGGGTCCTGGGCCTCACCTGAGTGCAGGATGACAGTGACTGACACGTACAGGGACTTCCCCACCAGGGAGTCGGCCCCGGAGGGCTGCACCCCGTCCAGCAGCACCTTCCGCTTCAGCAAGGCCTCCCCGGTGCCGTCCTCAATCTGGGGAGGGTGGAGAGCTCAGAGGAGGCAGGGGCCTGGGGGCAGGGCTCAGAGGTGGTGGGGGGGCTCAGAGGGGCCCTCTGTCAGGTACCTCGACGCGGGTGAGGGACTCAGCCAGGGAAATCCTCTGGTCCCCATCCTGGACCCCGAAGATGACAAAGGCAACTCCATCGACATTCTTCCCATATAAGAACCTGCGAGGTGAGGAGGGCTTCAGAGCAGCCCCTCCTGGAAAACCAAGTCTCTCCCGACTTCTACTGCCTGAGGCTGAAGACCCCCCCCAGCCTCTCACCTGGCCCTGACCTGGCCCCACCCCTGGCCCTCACCTGGCCCCACCCCCAACCCTTCACCTGGCCTCTCCCCTGGTCCTCACCTGGCTATGATGGTGACCCCCAGGCCATTCTGGTCATAGATATAGTAGAATTTCTCTGCAGGCTCCACTATGACCTCGAAACTGGGCAGCACTGGGGTGAGAGACGGCGTTGGCGGGGCCGGCGCTGGGCCCCATGCTCCGGGGTCCCCCCGCCCTGGTGCCTCCCCCTCTTACCGTACTCTTTCACCTCAAACTCAGCCGAGAAGACCTGCTTTGGTGAATTTTCATAGTAGGCTCGGATCTTCCAGGGTCCCATGCTGTGGGGAGGGTGGGTGAGTGGCCTGGCCAGGACTGGCAGCCCCCCAAACCCGCTCTTGGGTTAGGGGACCCCTGAACCCCCTCCTAAGGGGCCTGACATACTTAACCAGCTCCGGGATGTTCCAAGACAACGGCAAGATGCCGAAATGGTTGTGAGAAGAGAAAGATTCCTGCTTGACAGGAATGCCTTCGGGGTTCTGCGAGGAGACAGGAGGAAGGGGTGTGGGATACAGTGGCCCTTCGGAGGCCAGGCCTAGCCTCTCAGCTCTCTCTGACCTCACATTGTCTGGCCACTCTCTCTGCACCATGTCTACAGGGTCATATCGACAGTAGTCAGCCCCGGTTCAAATCCCTGCTGTGCGACTTACAAGCTGTGTGACCTTAGGCAAGTTACCTAACCTCTCTGTGCTCAACGTGCATATCTAGAAAAAAGGAGATAATAATGGCACCTTCCTCATTGGCTTAGGACATAGCTCCCATAAGCGAGAGTTTGTTATTATCAGAGTCTCTCTGAATAGCAGTGATTAATGAGCACGTATTACCCACATTGGTGCCAGACCTTGTGCTAAGCATGAAACAAAATCACACGTAGTTGTCCACGTTCGACTACGAGAAGAGCCATTTCGTGTCGTTTGACCTACTACACAGATTATTTTGTTTGTTGCCAACAGTTAAACATCAGGAGACAGCACAGCAACATCTGGTTTTCTAGCTTCTCTTGGAAATTGGGAAATTCTGTGGATGGTGCGGCACAGGGACATGTTGGATCAGAGGTGGGCAGCTGTGCCGTTAGAGGAGGTGTACGGTCTCCGTTTCCCAGAGACCCCATCAATCCCTGAAGCCAGATGTGTCATTCTCCTGGTCCCTGTCACATGATTTCAATAAATCCTCAGGACAATCTATGGCCCTACCCCAGCCTCTCACCTGGTCCTATGGTTACTGAGCCTAACTATATGCCACGCACTGTCCTGGTTCAGGCGATAAGACCCTGAACAAACAGATAAAAATCCCTCCCTGTATGGAATTTAGGTTCGCTGGAGGGCAGGGCAAGGGGAGAGATAATTATCAAATGAATAATTCCCATTTTCAGGATGTGCAGGAAGACAGGAGGGGTGTGCGTGTGTTTGTGTGTGTCTGGGCTCAGGGTGGGGATTTGCAACTTTATAGGGTGCTCAGGGAGACCTCACTGTAAAACTGAGACGTTGTGACATTTGAAGGAGGTGGGAGATCTAGTTGTGTGGATATTTGGAAGAAGAGGCTTTTCGGAGAAGAGGGCACAGCCTGTGCAAAGGCCCTGGGGCAGGACCACGCCTGGCATGTTGGACGCACAGCAAGGAGGCCCGTGTGGCTGGAGTAGAGTGAGCAATGGGGAGAGAGGGAGGCGGGAAGGGCGGGGAGGGGACGGGGCAGGTCGTGCAGGGCCTGGTGAACCTCAAGGAGAACTTGAGCTTTTACTCCAAGGGAGGTGAGAGCTATGGAGGCTGTGGGCAGAGGAGGGACGGCCCCTGACTCAGGTGCTCACAGGCGCCCTCTGGCTGTAGGTAGAATAGACCAACGACATAGAATTATTATCTGCCATTATCCCAGTGTTCAGGGGAGGAAACTGAGGCTCAGGGAGGTGAAAGACCAGGGGTTTATCTGAAAGGAAAATCCGCCTGGTCCCCCCGGGGTCTGCACGTCACCTCCAGGCCTGTGTGTTTTTGTCTCTCTCTAGCCCTTGCCCCGGGTCTCTGCTGCTGTGCCATTTCCAGTTCTGTTTCTCTGTCTGTCCCCTCCTTGTCTCTCTGAGACTCTGCCCCCGTCGCCTCTGGGCCCGGCTGGCTGATACCTCAATGCTGACCATAACCGTCCGGCCCACGGGCAGCAGCTTGTGGTCCACGGTGAAGATCCGATAGCGAACTGGACGGGGGTTGGGGGACAAGGAGGCCTGGTGAGCCCTGCCTCCTCCTTCAACGCCCCGCCCCCGGCACATGCCCCTCCCGCACCCTGCCCCTCCCCTCCACGCCCGCCCCGCACCCCGCAGCCCGCACCCGTGGAGCTGGGCGTGTAGATGGTCTTGTCCGTCTGGATGAACAGGTACCCGCTCTGCAGGCTGACCAGCACCGGCTTCTCCACCACGGTGGGCCCGAAGCTCGCCCGGATGATCACGAATTTGCGCCCCTTTTCTGACTTGAACTCCTTGGTGGCCTCGATCTAGGCACGGGCCGGGCCGGCGCATCGTCAGGGGTCCGCTCCGGGCCCGCGCCCGCCCGCGGTCCCGCTTCTGGGGCCCTCCTGGCAACGGAGACCCCCTCATTCCCGGCCCCTGGTTTGTCCAGTTCTGGGGGGAACTCCCGAGGGGGGCAGAGAGGGGGTGCAGAGAGTGAACTCCGAGAAGGGAGGACTCCAGAGGGGCGGGGTAGGAAGGAAGGGGGGCTCAGAAGGGGGAGGGGCTGAGAAGAGGAAGGGGCTCAGAAGGGGCAGGAGGCTCAGAAAGGAAGGAACTCAGAAACCGGGAGCAGGCTGACAGGTGAGGGAACCCAGGAATGGGAGGAGATTCAGAAAAAGGAGGGGCTTGAAAGGGGAGGAGACTCAGAAAGGGGTGGGGCTTAGAAGGGGAGGAGACATAAGGGGAGGAGCTTAGGGAGGAGACAGAAGGGGAGGGGCTTAGAGGGGGCGGGGCCTCAAGGGGAGGGACTTGGGGAGAAGACCCAGAAAAGGGTGGGGCTTGGAAGGGGTGGAAACTCAGAAGGGGAGGGGTTTAGAAAGGGTCAGGGAGAGGAGCCTCGAAAAGGGGTGTGGCTTGGAAGGGTCTGAAACTCAGAAGGGGAGGAGACAGAGGGGGAGGGGCTCAGAAAGGGAGACTCAGAAGGGGGCAGTGGGCGTGGCTGTGGGTGTCTTTCTGCAGCGCCCCCCTCCCTCCGGTCTGCTCCCACCTTGACGGTGACGTTGCCCAGGTAGCCAGTGGCACTGGTCAGTGTGGTTTTCTCATTGGCCAGCGTATGCTGCTTGGTGAAGTCTTGAACAATGACAGTGACTGGAACATCGCCTTGCGCTTCGTGGGCCTCCAGCACCAGGGTCTCCTCGCTGTCCAGCCGCAGTATGTTGGGGGTGATTATGGAGTACCTGTCGGAGTGGGGCACCGGAGCGGATCTGTCATCCCAGGCTTGCGACACTACGGCCCTTACCGGGGTCAGTGCCTGGCCGAGCCTCTGTTCCCAGGCGCTGTGCCCCAGTCTCTGGCCCTGGAGAGGATCCAGTGACCGCCCCGGGGCACCAGCGAACGCCATCTAGACCCGCGTTCCTCTCTGAGCCGGACACTGCCTTGTCCACCTGGGCAGGGCGCCAGCCACCATGACCTCCAACCTCAGCCAGCTGGGCCTGGCCTTCGACAACCTGGAAAACTAGGGGCTGCAGATCTCACCAAACCCTGAACCTCAAAACCAGGATCAGCAACTCCAAGTCTTCAGACTTCCCAACCCACAGTCGCCTAAACCACACACGCCCAATGCCCTAAACTTCTGCATCTTTAAATACCCCCAAATATATAAACAGTCAAACCCTCAGACACCCCAAACTCTACATGCCCAAACCCACCCCAAATCCTAAAACCCCCTAAACCTAAACCTCTAACCCTCCAATTCCATAAATAAACACAACCAAATCCAAACACCCCAACCCTCCATGAACCCAAAGCGCCCAATCTCTAAACCTACAGTGAAATCGGTCAGTTCTCAAATTGCAAACTCCCAAATCTTGTAAAGGGCAAACTTCCAAACCTCCAAATCACCCAAGCACACAATCACAAAACACCACACACATCCTAAACCAACAGATGACCTCGATTCTCAATTCCAAACCCCCAATCCCCAAATAGCCAGATTCCATAGACACCCAACCCAGAAACACCTGAACCCACAGGCAGCCCAAATTTATAAACATCCCAACCTGCTAACCCCTGAATCCGCAAACACCCAGATGCACCTGGAAACCTACAGGGACCCGCACCCACAATGCCTGCTGCCACCCCAGAAGTAGCCTCGTTTGGAGGGAGAGTAGTGATGACTCACATGGGATCCCCCAGGGTCAGGGGTGGGCAGGTGAGCAGCAGCAGCAGCAGCAGGCTGGGACCTGAGGCAGGCCCCATGGTGCAGGGACAGCGGAGGGACAGACGGACAGAGGGAATGGATGGGGAGGACTGAATAGCAGCTGCTGGAGCTGCCTCTTATCTGGCTCTTTCCTCTCCCCCACTCAGCCCCTCCTCCCAATAGCCTGTCCCCTCCCTGGGGCTGGCCCAGATTTCTCAATACCATTTCCTAAGTTTTTCAATCTCTGGGGCCAACATGTCGGTGGGGGGAGGGGGCTGAGTAACCTGAGGGCACGTTCCCCTGCAACATGGACATACTTGCACCCTGCCCTGGCATCTCTCAGGGTCAGGGCCAGCTGAACAGAGACCTTTCCCTGTTGGACCCACTTTGTAGTAGAGACACACTAAGGTCTGGAGAGCCCCACTCTCACCCTGACCCCAGATATCTGGGCCTCATTCCTAAGTTCACTTTTGCCCATGCATTTATTAATCAAACTTAGGAGTCCCTCTCTATGTGGGGAGCTAGAGTCCCCCTTCCATGCTGAGGGAGGAGGAGGGACAGACACTCTCAGCCCCATGGAGTGTTTTTCCCAGTGGAGAAGAGGAACTCTGCTTCTTGGAGGGTCAGGGAAGACTTCTTGGAGGAAGGGCTATTTCCAATGGGCTTCAAAGTATGTGTAGGAGTTAACTATCCAGGGAGGCTTATTTTCCAGGGAAGCTCCCTTCGCTTACCCTTGTCAGGATGCCTAAGTGACTTATGTTGGTGAAAAAAGTCACGGTTGAGGAAAGTTCTCATTGCTAGTTTTACCTCAACATCCCCTTAGGATATTATTATTTTAAGTTGTATTGATCTTGTGTGTGTGTGGATAGTTAATATATTCACATGGATCAACATCTAAAAGGTACAAATGCGTATGGAGGGAAAGGTGGTCTTCCTCCCGTATCTGTTGACAGCATATTCTACATACTATTCTTCCTGGTCTCCTGGGTTACATATTGTTTTTTTATGAAGAATGTCCCTTAGATTGTTTCATGTCACACAGAGAACTTCCTCATTCTTATGGGTACCTGCCTCCTATTACACTGTGTGAAAGTAACCAGCCTCCTATTGACGGACAGTTATACTTCTGTGGCTTCAAATCATGCTCCCTGCAGCGAACCTGCATGAGTTTCTATCAGCTGTGAATCCTTGGGCAAGCAACTGATAACTGCTCCGAGCCTCAGTTTCCCCGTGTAAAATTGCAACAAAAAGAGAAAACTTTGGGTGAACATCTGGACGCATAAGCAATCTTGCTAGATAGTGCGAATTCCCCTTCATAGGAGTCGTATTGATTTACACACTTACCATTGCTACACGCAACTAATTGTCAATTTTCCCACTTACTGTCCACCACAGCAGGTTGGCGAACTTTTGGATTTTTGCCAGGCTCGTGGGTAAAAACTGGTACATCGGTGTCATTTTAATTTGCATTCGTCTGATGCTCAGCTACGTTGCTGCCTGGGCATAGGAGGTGGATGGTTAAGGCCAGGAGAACGGTGTGTGTGTGGAGGCCCCCCGATCCCTGGATGGGTGGTTTCCAAAACTCCGATGAAGGGGTTAACGGGGCGTTCGCTCTGATTTCCTGTAAACCACACTCTTTTCCTGGCCTCCTGGCCTTGCCAGGGGTAGGGGGAGGCGCGGAGAATGAGAAAAAACCTGGCCTCTGTCTGCTGTGATTGCGACACACTCTCTCGGGAAGAGGAGGAGGAGGGAGAAAGCAAACACCTGCTTGTTCTCCAGAACTGGGGTTCAGCTTTTGAAACTGGGTGCCCCCAAGTGTCCCCAAGACTTTCTTCAATTCCCCCTCTTCCCCCTTCCCAAGCCACCCCATTTCCTGGTTTCATTCTGGCCTCAAGCATTTGTATTCGGGGCTCTGTGGTTTGACGACCTTGAGAAGGAAATTCCTGTCTGGGCTCTGTCTTGCTGCAGGGCTCGGTTCCTCTTTACTCTGAGACTCAGTTACTCCATCTGAGCAACGGGAGCGATGCTCACTCTGGCCGATGTCACAATTAAATGATGCAACATTCCTAGAAGCCCCCTGGCTCAGAGGGAAGGATCAATAACTGGTGGTGGTTGTCATCCGTGCCTGTGTCTGTTGTGTTGGGGATATGGGAAGCCTTGGGGGACATCTAGGAAGTGACCAGAGAGGGGAGGAGGCCGGAGTGGAACGGGGCTTATTGGGAAGGAGGGCGGTGAGAGGGGGAATTCTTCAGCCCTGGTGACGTTTTCCTGGGGGACGTGTGCAGAGGTCTGGGAGGGGCGCATGAGATAAGGCAGCATGAGGGTGAGAAGGAGGTGTAGCGGGGACTTCCAGTTCAACGCCAACCCAGCCCTGTATTCAGGGGAGAGAGAGAGAGAGAGACAGAGAGAGAGAGAGAGAGCGCGCATGAGCATGCACCGGGCCACCAGAGCTGCCCTGTAGTGGGATATCTGGAATACACATGCACTGAAAAAGTATTTGTTACTTATCTGAAATTCAGATTTCACTGGGCACCTTGTATTAATATTTTGTCTGGCAGCCCTAGCTGGGGCGCAGGCAGACAATAAAGGGAAGGAAGTGGGGATGATTTCTGGGCGCGGGGCCCAGGCGCTCCCGCTCCACGCCTGCCTGGGTTCGCTCACTCCACACCCACCCTTTCCTCCACAGAGGTGAGAACAGCAGGGAATACCCCCCTCACTCCCCCTAGGCCCTCATGCCAGATTGGGGTGCCCGCTTTTTCAGAGCCTCCCTCCAAGACGCACAGCCAGGCCACCCCCTTCTCCCACCCTATTAATGATTAACTTGCAGGTAACCTTGACCCGGCTGAATCAATCTGCCATGAGACAGTGACTCCTTCCCTCCACTCCCCCACATACGCTTACCAGAGGCCTGGGTAACTGGGTAACGGCGACCCCCCCACTCTGGGAAGACAGGGAGCAGAGGTTTGGATTTCAGTTCTGTGTGTATGTGTTGGGCGAGGGGGGCGCGCCTGGGCAAGGCCCGTTCTGTTCTCCCAGCCTCAGTTCCTAATCTGTCATCTGCAGATCGACAGGTACAGAACCTCCTCACCAGTGTTGGAGTGAGAATCTGTTAGCACCGGGCAAGGAGAATGCTCAGCCTGGTACCCCGCACCTACTGAGCACTCAACTTGTTTGAACTGTATATTTATTTTAAAATGTTTTTGGAATTTTAATTAGAGATGGGGTCTTGCTGTGTTGCCCAGGCTGGTCTCAAACTCCTGACCTCAAGCGATCCTCCCACCTCAATCTCCCAAAGAGCTGGGATGACAGGCATGAGCCTGGGGACTCTTTTTGAAACTTATCTTTGTATTCCTCCAACAAAATTATGATGTAGAAGACACCAATACATGCTTATGACAGCAAACGCCTATGGGACACCCAGTGGTGGCATCTTACCTATTTCACGCATTTTAATTTGTCCCATATGCTGTAGGTGTTGTTATTACCCTGTTTTACAGATGAAGAAATGGAGACTTCATCCACTTGCCCAAGCCCCTGCGGTAACCTTGGCCAAGATCCTGGTACGTGCTGGGCTCCAGAGCGTGTGCTCTTGAAACTGTGAGTTCTTCCTGCTGTTGTAACATATCCCGGCAAATTTCATGGCTTGAAACAACATACATTTATGATCTTACAGTTCTGGAGGTCAGAAGTCTTAAAATCAAGGTGCTAGGCCAGGCGCGGTGGCTCACGCCTGTAATCCTAGCACTCTGGGAGGCCGAGGCGGGCGGATTGTTTGAGCTCAGGAGTTCGAGATCAGCCTGAGCAAGAGCGAGACCCCGTCTCTACCAAAAATAGAAAGAAATTAACTGCACAGCTAAAAATATATAGAAAAAATTAGCCGGGCATGGTGGCACATGCCTGTAGTCCCAGCTACTCGGGAGGCTGAGGCAGGAGGATCGCTTGAGCCCAGGAGTTTGAGGTTACTGTGAGCTAGGCTGACGCCACGGCACTCACTCTAGCCTGGGCAACAAAGCGAGACTCTGTCTCAAAAAAAAAAAAAAAAAAAAAATCAAGGTGCTACTTGGGGCTGTGTTCCTTTCTGGAGGCATCAGGGGAGACTATGTCCTTGCCTTTTTTTAGCTTCTAGAAGCCACATGCATCCCTTGGCTGGTGGCCCCTTCCCGGAATCACTGTAAATTTTGCTTTTGTTATTGCATCTCCTTCTCTGACTCTGACCCTCTGACCCTTCTGCCTGTCTCTTAAAAGGACCATTGGGATTACACTCGGCCCATGCAGATAATCCCACCATTTTAAGATCTTTCATTGAATCCCACCAACGAAGTCCCTTTTGCCACGAGTGGGAACATATCCTCAGATCTTGGGGATTGGGATGTGCATATCTTTGGTGGGGACTGTCACTCTGCCTATACCAAAGCGTGCACGGGAGTAATACGTGGACTCTATCGGGCCACTCCGCTCCCGGCTTTAAATTCTTCCAGGGCCCCTGCAGACCCCAGCATGAAGCCTCCAAATGTCCCTGTCTGTCTTTAGGCTCCTGCCAGCTACTGCTGCCTTCCTCCTGCACCCCGACAGCTGTGCGGTGAGACTTGCAAGCTATTTTATTCCAGACTTCCCCGTCTTCTTCACATAACTTCCTGAGCCCGCAATGCCTCCCCACTTCCTTCTTCATCCAGCTGGGCCATTTAGTCACCAGGGCCTCGGTTATACTTGTTTGCACTTACAGGAAGACTCCCCCCAGCCCCCATCCCTGTCCCCTACCCCTGTCCCACGCCTGTGGCCCCCACCGAGAAATGTTTCTCAGCACTTCCAAAGGGGTTCTGGGTGCTCTAGTGGAAGGGTGAGTGGGTTGGGGAGGGGAGAGACATCTTGGGAATCAGCCCTTTAACTGTGTGCCCAGGCGGGTCTCTGTTTATAATCTGCAGTCACTCAAGAGATCCTCCTGCCTCAGCCTCCCAAGTAGCTGGGACTACAGGTGTGCATCACCATGCCTGGCTCCTTTTTTAATTTTTTTGTAGAAACGGGGTCTCGCTATGTTACTTAGGAAGGTCTTGAACTCCTGGCCTCCAGTGATCCTCCTGCCTCGGCCTCCCAAAGTGTTGGGATTACAGGTGTCAGCCACTGCATCCACCACCTATTATTCTTATTTTTACTCTTTAGTCTTCAAATGATTGTTTTCCCCTTTGCCTCCGGCTTTTGTGCCTGCCATCCCCTCCTCTGGGCATGACCTCTCCCCTCGTATTTCTATGACATTCACCTTCCCTGACTTCTGTGCTGGGTGGGGGCCTTGTGCAGCCGCCGTCATGGGTCTGAGGGCCCAGTGAGGGAACCACGTGGTGACACGTCCCTCTCCCTGCCGCCCACGCCCTGTGCTGTGAGTCCCTCAAGGGCTGGGACCAGGTGGGTCTCAGGCACTGCTCTGTCCTCAGCACCTGGCATAGGGTCTAGCACGTGGTGGTTGCTCAACTGATACTTAGTGAATGTGTAAAGTCATGGGCACTGCACCCCCTCCCCCCACAGCCAATGCAGGCTTCTAAATTATAAACGCGACATCTGTGTTAGACCTCAACCCCCAGAAAGGCAAAGAACCGCGGTAGCAAAACAGATTGGTCATTATTGTACAGCTGGAAGTGAAGGGTAGTCCCCGGGTGAGGACAGAGCTGCCTGATACTTAGGAGGGGAAGAAGGGCCTGTCTGTCTTCTTCAGAACCCGGGTCCCAAGGAGTCGGTCCCCTGCACTGCCCCACACACACCTTAGGAGAGGGGCTGGAATGAGGAGCGGTGGGGTGGGGGAGGAGGACCATCTGGTCCCAGATGTGCAGATGATCACAACAGTTCCCGCGTGCTGGCTGTTTTGTTGACTTTGGACAGGCCTTCCCGGAACCCAGAGTCGGTCATTCTGCAGGCAGACACCAAAGAAGAGCCTGTCCAGAGCTCAAGGGCAGCAGGCCCCGCCCATGCCAAGCCCCGCCCCAGAGCTCCCTTAGCCCCGCCCACTCCACCCTGCTATCTCCATAGCTGCTGTAACCACGCCCCCAGATCTGCCTGGCCCTGCCCATCTTGCTACCTGAGGAGCCCCGGCCCCTCCTTCCTAGCCCCCTCCGTCCCCCCACAACCCCGCCCCCAGACCCACCCACTCCAGCCCCAGACTCACACTTGCTCCATCTGGACATCTTCCTCATCCTCCTGGGGTAGCTGCAAGTACGGGTTGTCCCCCGCGGGCTGGAACTTGTAGCCCGTGAGCACGAAGAAGGCGAGAGTGGAGCCCTCCACCAAGAGCTGCGGGGACAAGGGACAGAGCCGGAGTGTCAGGTGCATCCCTGCCCCACCCCCACCCACTTCGTCCCACCTGGGGCCTCCGGGCTCACCTGGTACAGCCACTGCCACTGGAAGGGCACGGCCACCCGCAGCAGGATGGCGATGATGCGTGTGAAGTAGACGTAACAGATGACCTGCAGGAGCACCGGCGGGCATGGGACAGAGGGGACAGCGGGGACAGAGGGACCGTGGGGCTGGGGATGTCTGGGTGGCAGCCTCAGGGTGGGTGTGCCACGGGGCTGGTTATCCCCGACGCTCCCAGCCCTCCTCCCCAATCCTACCCTCACCCCACCCCCCCCCAACCCCACCCCCAGCACATTGGGCTCCTACCATGACATAGTAATGCCGGAACAGCTTCAGCTTGGCCAGGTTCACTGCCACTGAGGGGTGGGCACAGAGTGGGGGTCAGGGGAAGGACACTGAGGGTGGGAGGAAGGGGAGAGGCCTGGGGGAGGGGACAAGAGGAATCTGGGGGAGTGTCCCAGGGGCAGAAAGTCTCCAGGGGATGTCAGGGCGGCAGAGAGGCCAGATTGGGGCGTCCACGGAGGCAGTGACCAGCGGGGTGGGCAGAGAGGCCAGGAGGGGCGTCTAGGGACAGAAAGAAGGGGCCGTGGGCAGAAGTTCTCGAGGGGCAGGGTCTCACCCTTCCCGTCTGTGCCAGACGCCTCCTGGAGATGCCGGATGGACCTGGGACAGGTGGAGGCACAGGGTGTGGTCAGCGCTGGCTCCGCCCACGTGCGCATTGGGCGGGGTCTCAGCCGGGGGCGGGGACGAGCCCGGATCCTCACCAGACCACAGGGAAGAGGATGGCACCACAGCAGATGAGGTCCACCAGGAACAGGATCTCCTTCCAGAGCCCGTAGTCGCTGGCGCCCTCCTCGCGGGACTCGATGACGATGTAGGCCACGTTGGCCAGCACCTGTGTGGCCCGGGCAGGTTGGGCTGGGTGCTGCCTGACCTGTGCCCCTCCTGTCCCCTCTGCCTTCCCCGGGGCCACCTCCCCCGACGCACCTGCAGAGGGATGACGATCCCAAAAATCTTCTTCTCCTTATCCGACAGGACGTACTTGACGAAGGCCCAACCGGAGCCGATCAAAGCGATGGTGATGAAGAGGAGGGCGCCCTTCAGCCTGGGGGAGCAGAGGGTTGGCGTGACGATGAGGTCAGGTGGATGCCTGGCCCTCCCCTGCCCGCCTGCAGCTACCTGCCCGGCGGAGGGGCCACTCACAGGTGCGTGATGTAATGCATGACCGCGAGGCCCTCGATGGGGTGGCCCTGGCTGTTGATGAAGTAGTAGTTGATCTGGGGGTGGACAGATGGATGGACAGTCAGACAGATGGACCCCCACAAGCCCAGGGTCCATAGACATTTTGAGGGGTGGCCTGGTCGCTCTCTTCCTCGCAGCCCACCCCCCTGGCTCCCGGCCCCAGGCCCTCACGCTGTGGAAGAGCAGAGAGATGCTCTTTGTGAAGGCCAGGGCCGCCATGAGCCAGTGGATCTTGAACACGTTGTACCTGGCGGGAAAGAAGGCGGCACGGAGCATCAGCCTGGGGCAGGGATGGGGGTGTCTGGCGAGTGGAGGTGGGGGACCCCCAGGGGCAAGGCCATTACGTGTTCCTGCAGAGGACCGACACCCAGAAGATGCCGGCAGCCAGGAAGCAGGCGGACATGACCATGTAGAGCTTGAAAAGGGGAATCTCTGCGGCCGACAGGAAGCCCTCGGGGTTCTTCTCCCGGATCATCACCTGGTGTGGGGACAGAGGTGGGTGCTGGTGGTGGCACGGTCCTGGCGAGACCCCTCCCAGTTCTCCTGCTTTCTAGCTGGGCGACTTGCCCTCCCCAAGCCTCACTTGGCCTGTCTGTCAAATGGGTCCAAAAGCTTCCACTTTCTCCCACTGCCACTGGGGGGCTGTCCGGAGCTCAACTCCTGGCGGGCGGTGGGCACTCCCTGGCACGGCTGCCCACGCTCTGCTCACCGTGATGTCAAACGGGTGCTCCTTTCCGGGAACTGAGTTGTTGCAGTTGTGGAAGTTAAGGTTGTACTGGCCTTCCTCAGCCCTAGAGCCGATCACCACGTGGAACTGGGCGAGGGGGAGAGGAGGGCTCAGCCTGGGGGTCCGCTGCTCTGCGGGGGTGGCGGAAGGGGGGGCTGCAGGTGCCGCAGACACTCACGCTGAAGTTGTAGGAGTTGTTGAGGTGGCCCAGACCCAACACCAGCTCCTTGTCCTTCTCGCCGGGGCCCTGAGGGGACAGAACCCCTCCATCAGCTGGGCCCGGGTCCCTACCCCCCCACCCCCCACCCCGGGGTAGGCCTTTCTCCCTCCTGCCCTGCCTCTGCCAAACCTGAGACACCGCAGGTCGTGACTTGGCCTTGTTGACGGTGACGGTCCCTGTAGGAGACAGGTGAATGTTTTTAAGAGGTGGACGGACAGAGGGATGGCAGGAAAATGGGGTGGCAGGGCTGTGGCGGGTAGACGCACATGGCAGCCCTGCCCTTCCACCCCTCTCTGCCCGCACGGCCAGCCCGACTCACCACTATCCACCTTGGGGGTGACCGTGGGCCCCGGCTTCGGGAGCCCTGGTTCGGAGGGCACTTCGGGGAGGAGCCCAGGAGAGATGAGTAACTTCTTCTGTCCCCCATACTGTCGCACCTGGACCCTGGGGTGAGGGGCGGGGAGATGAGGCTGGGAGGCCGAACCCTGGGGACAGGCCTCTGGGGCCCACTGCATGTCCTCCCTGGGGGCTGGTGTCCAGCTGAGTCAGTGGTCACCAGGTTTCAGCATTTGGCCATCACCCATGAAGGTGGCAGGTGGCTGCCACATTCCTATGCTGCCTAGAAATTACAATATTTGTCATTTCTATTCAAAAAAAAAAACAACCAGTGTATCTACACAGAGGCAACACGGTATCGTCAGACCCCAGCACCAGGCTGCCTGGGTCCGAATCCCAGTTCATGGGACTCAGTTTGCTCATCTGAAGAATGGGGACAATACAACATATGGGATCGATGAGTTAATACACATTAAAGCCCTCAGGACATTGCCTGGACGCTGGAAGCATTCAGCAAGTATGAACGATCGCTCATTCATTCTCACAGCAGCCCTCTGCATCCGGGTCTTCTCCCCTGAGATCCCAGCGCTCCCCGAGTACCTTTCCCTCTCTCCTCCCTTCCAGTGAACAGAAGGCTTGAAGGTGACGCTAAAAAGTGAGTGGCTTTCTCACTACACAGCCGGCTTCTCATTCTACCCGTTGGCTCGGGTACATCACGCCCAGGGAAACACAAATGATGGATCTTAATGAGGTCCTGCTGCCTCCCCTCGCCGCCCGCCCCCCAACTCACTGCAGATCCTTGGTGTTGATGAAGAAGAGGACCAGGAAGTTGCTACTGTTTTTCTGGAAAGGGCAGTCGTGAAAATCCCAGGTCTGGGGAGTGGGCAAGAAGGAAGCCTGGGTTACCCCTTTCCATGCGCCCTGTCCTCCCCGACCCTGCCTCCCTTCCCATCCACCCAGGTCTCCTCTTGCTTCTGGCAGGGGCCTCTAGGTTATAGATGCAGAAGACCGACAACCCCCTCTCCAACACACACACACACACACACACACACACACACATGCCACCCAATCACCCAGCCCCACTTCCCTCCCTCCCCACCTCCACTCACTGAGTAGGATCGAGAGCTGCCAGATTGGACCCGGCTCAGGCTGAACCCCACCTGGTGGATGGAGAGAAAGGGGGAGGATGTGAGGGACCCCAGCAGGGACCCCCCACCCCCATCAAGCCATCCCTTTCATAGCAACAGAAACCTAACCTCACATTCACTGAACACCTACCATGTGCTAGGTCCCATGTTCTCTCTCTGAACTTCCCAACCACCTCCCCCTGTCCCTCCATCCTTTTCCTTTAACTCCTAACTATCCCCTGTGACTCAATCTGCATGTCACTGCCTCATGGAGACCTTCAATAGCCCACCTTGTTTTTTCCCCATTTAAATGTGAATGGTTTCCCCGGTCCTGGGCTGTGGAATCCCAGTGCGCTCAGGTTTAAATCTAGGCTGTCGTGTCCCAGTTGGGTGACTCTGAGCAAGCAGCATACTTCCGAGCCTGTGACTATACCCATATAGTTGGCTTCAGTGAATTTTTGTAGCATCCCTGAGAGGTGGCTATGAGGAAACAGGTGCATGGAAAATGCTTTGCATGGTACTTGATATGTAGTGTGCATTCAATAAACGCTAGTTATGTACTCCTGACCTGGGGCTGTCTTATTCATTCATTGCTATGTGCCCCAGCTCTTTAAGAAAAGAGCCACCTAGCAGCTGAGCTCGGTGGCAATAGTTCCAGCTGCATGGGAAGCTGAGGTGGGAGGATCACTTGAGGCCAGGAGTTCGAGGCTGCAGTGAGCTACGATCACACCTGTGAACAGCCACTGAACTCCAGCCCCGGGCAACATAGCAAGACCTCACCTCTAAAATAAGAAAAAGAAAAGCACCCAGCACATATTTCGGAGATCTTATTATTGCCAGGTAACAGAGGAGGAAGCTGAAGCTCAGAAAAACCAAGGGACTTGCCCACGATCACATGGGTAAGAGGCAGAGCTAGGACGATGGGAACCCAGAACGGGGTGTGTGTGAAGGCACCCTGCCCTCCTCCAGCAAACTCCTCCCACCCCTCACCAGCAGGGACTTCTCTTCTTTCTCCTGGAGGCCCAGCCGCAGGAGGCTCATTTCCACCTCCAGGGAGCCATTCGTGTAGAAGCCGAAGCTGTTGAGCGGGATGTCTGCTCGCTTCTCCCCCTGCCGGGAGAGCAAGGAGGCAAAGGCAGCTCAGACTTGTCTCCACCAGCCCAGCCCCAGGGCTCTGGTTCGAGACCCCCCAAAGGGCCTCCTTTATTACCTAAATAAAGGTACCCCTTTATTTAGGACAAGCCACAGGATGACAAGAGAGCTTAAGAGAGCCTGCCTCCCTGCAGGGACAGGGTGACCGCAGGTCCTCCGACTGCTGTTTTGAGAGTCCAGGAAGGGAAATCCTGGGGCACCTGGAAGTCCCCACCATGGGGTGAGTGCCACCCCCAGAGTAGTTATTCCCCTCGGTGGGCCTGGCTTTCACCTCCTGGAAAATTTTCAGGTTCCAACTGAGCTCCCAGCAGCGTGCCGAGATATCAGCTGAGCCCCTAAGATCCCAATGAGCGCCCAGGGGGACCCACTCCAGAATTCCCACGACCCCCTACTCCCACCCCACGGAAGGCGCCCGGGGTCCCTGGCGTCCCCATAGTGACCCCAAGAATTTAAAAGGCCAAGACTCGGGGGTCCTAAGCGATGGAGCCCCGCCCCCCGATGGGCGGGGCGCGACCCCGGCGAGGCCGGCCAGGCAACTCCATCCCGAAACTGGGGGCGCCGGACCGCTCCATCCCGCGCAGGAAGCGGGGGAGGTCGGACGAGACCACTCCAAGCCGGGGGCTTCTCGGGGACAAAGTTGAGGGCCCCCGCCCCCGTCTTCAGAGCGGTGGGTCTCACCGTCAGCACCAGCCGGTGGATGCGCCCAGAGCAGCCGCCCAGCAGCAGCAGCAGAAGTAGCTGCCGCCCCCACTCCGCGGGGCTCCCGAGGCCGAGCCCCCTCCTCTCGCTCACTGCCATCTCTGGAGCCACCGCCTTCCCCGACTCCGCCTCTAACGCCCCCAAGCCCGCCTACTGACGAACCAATCGCTGCGCGGCGGTGTCCCTCTGCCGCCGTACGACGCCAGATGGACAGCAACAGCCCCGAATGGGAGTGCTGATACCGCTTAAGCCCGCCTCCGCACCCACCAATCGCTAGAAAGATTTTCCCGGATGTAATTTGATAAACAGTTGATCCAACCAATGATGATGGACCTCATAGCGGCCCTTGAAGCGGAATTCCTCCACCCACTCTTAACGGTCCAGGACTACATTACCCAAAATGCAGAGGGAGCAGACAAGCTCAATGAGACATCAAATAAACTACGTTTCCCAGTATCCCCAAGGACGAACTTCCTTTTCTTACTCCAGGGATGTGGCTCCCGGCCAGAGCTCAGGCTTTTGGTAAACACACGCATCTGTTGAGGCCTGTCCTGTTCTCCTTATCTTCCTGGTCCACAGAGAGGCCTAAGCCTAGCCCCAGGGTACATCTTGACCCTAGCATGACCTATGACCCCAGGCTGAGTCCCCAGCCTTAGGCTAAGCCTCCTACTATCCCGGAGTGAGGCAATTGGAGGCCTACCCACCCCCAGATCGCAGGCTAGACTTGACTATGGGCTGAAACCTCACCCTAGGTGAACCCCCTACCTGCAGCTGAGCCCCAACTTCAGCCTGAAAGTCTGACCCCACCCCCCGATCTCCTCCCACCCCACTCCCCGACACTGACCCTTAAACTCTGGCTTAGCCCCCGACCCCCGACCTAACTCCAGACTAGGCCAGACTCTTGGACCCAAGTTCGAGTCCCTGACCCTTTACGGGGTTGCTGGAACTTGGCTAAGTCCTCGACCCCAGTCTGAGACCCCCATCCCAATGACCTGGGCTGAACCCCAATTCCAGTTGGAGTCACTGACTAGAGCTGAGCTCAGAACTTCGCTGGGCTGAGCCCCAAACCCAGACCGACTGAGCCACTGAAGCCATTGGAGCACAGCCCACTTTGCAACCCGAGGTTTTCTAGCCCAGAAACCACCAGCAGGTGGGGCCAGGTCCCAGCAGAGCCATCAGTCCCAGTGTGGGCTCCCCGAGCTCTGTCCCCCCCACCCCGCCCCCGGGCTCCCCGGGTATTTCTCTGTACAGGGAGCCCCAGAGCTCTGTGTAAGGGAAATCTGTCCCCGGGGGGCCATCCCAGCCCCAGCAAGACGTCTGTCATCTCTGTAGCTGCAGAGAAAGCGCCAAAGGCCAGAGAGAATGGGGGTAGGAGTTGATGGTGCCTGTCTCTCCTTTCATCTCGGAGCCTCAAAGGGATTTACAAGGTGCGAACAGACTTTTATAGAGGAGGTGACAGTCTTGCATGCCCCAGGGCCCGGGCATCTGGGAGAGGGGCGGAGTCGGACTCCCAGGGGCAATACTGATAATTAAACCAGATTAGACCTTCATGGGTGAGACTGGAAAACGGGCAGGTGCAAGCACGAACTCGATGGCAGCCGGGGAAAGGCCTGGACCGGGCGCCCCAAGGACGGCCCGTCCTCAGTTTCCCAGCGGAGACTCTGGGGGAGGGAGGGCAGGATGCGGTGCCTGAGCTAATGGACCCGGCCTTGGCGGAGGCGCGTCCTGGGCAAAATCGAAGTCCTTCCTTCCGCCCTGTGGCCGGAGGGACCAGACCATTAGTGGGACGAACGTAGACGCCTGGAGCCGGGCCGACCCGCAAGAGCCAGGTGACCTCAGTTTCTCCCTGCGACGGGCTGGGGGAAGGACTTCTTGGGTTTGGGGTTTTTAGTGTCCTGGCCCTTTAAGGAATGGATGAGGGGAGAGGGGAAAGGAAGAACCATCTGGGGTAGGGGAGGAGAGTGGGAGGATGAGAGGGACCCCGGGGATTTGGAAAATGGGTGGGTGGGGGGTCCTTTAAGGGGTCGTCCAGTGGCGTCGGGTGGCACCAGTCCTTTAAGACGGGGCGGAGCGTCCGTTGGGCCCCGCCTCCTTGGGGGCCCCGCCCTTAGAGCGCCGCGCTAGTGCTCTACGCGGGCGGGGGCGTGGCAGAGCGCTCGGGGGCGTGGCTTAGCCTGGAGTGGGCGGGCCAGGGCGGGGCCAGGAGCACCGCCCTCGGCTGAGTCTCCCCGCGGAGGGCGGCGGGTGACGGGGACCGGGCGCGGCGGTGGCGGGGACAGCATGGATTGGGGCACCGAGCTGTGGGTGAGTCCAATCGGCCCAGCTCCAAGTTCCCCCTTCCTGGGGTTCCCCTTTTTGTCCCCAGCGTACCTTAGTGGGGGGCTCCTCGCTTTCCCTTCCACCCACCCCTCGGTCCCTGCCCTCCACCCTCCGCCCCCCTCTCGGAGTTTCTCCGGGAGTCCGTGTGCACGCCTAGGGGCTCAGGGCGACCTTGCAGGAGCGGCGCAGGGAAACTGAGGCACGGGCTTGAGGGTGAAGCGGGCAGAAGTCCTGGGACCAGGCCTGGGCGGCCGGGCGAGGTCACCTATTTTGAGCGCCCTGGCCGGCCGGGCGGCTTATCTTACCGCCCCTGGGTCTCTGCCCGCCGCCCGCCTGTCCGGCTGGGAGGGGGAGGGGACCCTCTGGCCACCCTCACCCCCACGTGGGATCTAGAAGTCCTGGCCGCCCTTTCGGTCGTCTTTAATCAACACCTAAGGACTTGGGACGCCCGTGGAAGGGGAGGGGGCTGCGAGGGTCGGCCTCGGGCCCCTTCCCACCCTCCCCCGGCTCGCTCCAGGCACAGGGCGGGGCCGCCCCCTGGTCGCTCTAACCTCAGCCTTGGAAGCCCCAGAAGTTTCCTCGTATCCTAGCTGGACCTCTGACCCCTCCCCTTTCTGGGGGTGGTGGAATCCCTGCGTCTGAGTACAGCGGGGTAACTCCCCCCCACCCCGCCGTACCTCCAACCCTGGGGTTTTATTTGGAGGTGTAGTGGAGTCAGTGGGGGAAACTGAGTCACACATCGGGGGACCCCAGGGAGCATGGGGACTCAGGGAACGTGGTGCCTGCCCCCTGGCCATTGGCGGGGGGTGGGCCCCCGAGCTGCGAGGAACCCTGCGCCTCTGGTCTTGACTCACGCCGGGCCGGCCGGATTTTCCGGAATCTGGGGGGATTAGTAGGAGCCGGGGGGAGTGGCCTGCCTCATTCCACACTTTTTTGGCGGTCCCGAGACTGGAGACCCTGTCGTCCCGCTGGGGCCCGGGCCCTGTTCTCCGGCCCTTCCCGGGAAGGGGAGGGGGTTCCCGCCAGTTTCCTGCCTCTCCCCGCGCCACGCCGGGGCGGCGGCGCCGGGAAGCCACTCCTCCTCCTCGGGCGCGCACAGCCTGGGAGCTCTCGGGACGCCTGGTCCGCGGGCGCCGGTGGCGGTGGGGTCCCCAGGTCGTGACCCCGGCCCTCCCCCACTCTTTCCCCCCTCCCCATCCCCCCCCACAGGATCAGTTCGAGGTGCTCGAGCGCCACACGCAGTGGGGGCTGGACCTGTTGGACCGATATGTGAAGTTCGTGAAAGAACGCACGGAGGTGGAACAAGCTTATGCGAAGCAACTGCGGTGAGACCCTAGGGTGGACATGCGGCGGGGCGGGGGAGCGGGGGGAGGGCTGGGGGGGCTCTACCTTCACACCTTTGTCTCCCTTTAGGAGCTTGGTGAAAAAATACCTGCCGAAGAGACCCATCAAAGATGACCCTGAATCCAAGTAAGGTTGGAGACTTCTTGGTCGTGGGGGAGGGTGCGGAACTTTGGGGTCTCACTTCCTCTGCCTCAGCTGGGCCACCCCAGACCCATGACCCCCCCCCCCCCCAATTCCCCCGTAGAGGTAAAAGCATAGATGCAAGATCCAGATTACTTGGCTGGAAATCCTAAATCCACGACTATTTAGTGGGGCAGGTGACTCAAATTCCCTACCTCTGTTTTCCTCACCTGTTAAATGGGAGGTTGCAACAGTTACAAAACCGGCGACTTTGAGCAAGTGACTTAAGTTTTGTGCCTCTGTTTTCCTCCTCTGTGAAATGGGCATGCGTGACCACACTGCCTGCCTCACAGGGCTTGTACGAACGTGAACTGAGTTCATGTGTGGACACAGTGCCCAGTTTGAAGGAGCATCTGATTTTATTCTGAGTCCCCCGATTTCAAAATCCGAAAAGCTCTAGAAATCCAAAGTTTTTTTGGTACGCTGTTAGGCGGCAGGCAACCTGCGACCTGAACTGACCTGAATTGTTCATTGTAATCTTGGTTATTTTTAATCTCAGTGTGAATATTAATGCCTCTCACTGTAAAAAGATTAATGGTGTTTGGTTATAGGTTTCTCCCCCCATCCCTACTGGGGTGACGCATACAGAGATGGCATAAGCATTGCATGCATTGTAGAAGCATCCAGCTTAAGGGTCGGGGGTAAGGAATGCGGATCAGAATTTATCATTGTCTTGGGGATGAACGTTTTGGGGTTACCGTTTCCCATTTAGAGGTGGGTCCTGGGGCATCTGGCTCCCCGGGAGGCCTGACTCCCTGCTCCCCACTTCTCACTCCACCCCAGGTTCAGCCAGCAACAGTCCTTTGTGCAGATTCTCCAAGAGGTGAACGACTTTGCAGGCCAGCGGGAGCTGGTGGCCGAGAACCTCGGTGTCCGTGTGTGTCTTGAACTGGCCAAGTACTCCCAGGAGATAAAACAGGAGAGGAAGATGGTGAGGGAACCCCCTCTCTGGGTGTTGCTGGGGGCCCCCTGCCAGAACCCTGGTGAGCCTCACTGCCCTTCTCTCCACAGCACTTCCAGGAAGGACGTCGGGCCCAGCAACAGCTGGAAAATGGCTTCAAACAGCTGGAGAATGTGAGTTTGCAGGGGTGGCGGGTGGCTCTGGCCCAGAGGAGCAGGGTGAGGGTTGCTGCTGATGGAGCTGCCCCCCTTTGTCTGGTCTGGACCTCCTCTCCTCCGTGAGTTCCCAACATGTCTCTTGTCCCCTAACAGAGTAAGCGTAAGTTTGAGCGGGACTGCCGGGAGGCAGAGAAGGCAGCCCAGACTGCTGAGCGACTAGACCAGGACATCAACGCCACCAAGGCTGATGTGGAGAAGGTGTGTGTCGCATCTGGGAGAGGCTCAGGCGGTCAGGGTGGGACGTGGCCAGAACCTGACTGTAACCCCCGTCTCGATATTCCTCAGGCCAAGCAGCAAGCACATCTTCGAAGTCATATGGCAGAGGAAAGCAAAAACGAATATGCAGCCCAACTACAGCGCTTTAACCGAGACCAAGCCCACTTCTATTTCTCACAGATGCCCCAGATATTTGATGTGCGTACTCCCAAGTTCCCAGACCCACCTTCCCGAAAATTGCCCCAAAGTTAAACCAACTCCTACACATACGTCAAAACCCCAGCTGCAATGTCCTGATCCCTAGACTGAAAGGGAATTAGAAACCTATGATAATACTGAGCAGTGTTTTCACTCCATCTGTTCTTTCTGCCAGGATTGTTTATCATTCCTTTTAAAACTCCTACTCATTCTTCTAAGCTCCAGTTCTAACAAATCCTCCAAAAGATCCTTAGATCTCCCCTCTTCTGTTTCAGCCTTGCACTCCACTCTTTGTCCCAACCCTGGCCCTGGGAGTATCTATGCCGGGTCTTCTTTTTCTTCCAATCCCTGTTCCCTTGTCTCCTCCTTTGAGAAGCCTTTGTAACTCCCCAGGCAAGTGACCTGCTCTGAAATTCCCCCTGGTGCTGTGTCTCTCCAGCCACACTGGGTTGGAGTCTCTGTGCTCTACTGTTTCCCCAACGAGATCGGGCTTGGGGCTGGGGCCATCGTGGAGTGCCGTCATGTTTGCAGAGTGAGTCACTCTGCCACTGGTCCCTCCGTTAGCATCCCTGAGCCACCCTTGCCCTGTCCCTACAGAAGCTGCAGGACATGGACGAACGCAGGGCCACCCGCCTGGGGGCCGGGTACGGGCTCTTGTCAGAGGCGGAGCTGCAGGTGGTGCCCATCATTGCCAAGTGCCTGGAGGGCATGAAGGTGGCCGCAGAAGCTGTGGATCCCAAGAACGTGGGTGCCTGGGCCGGGGGTGTCCAGCGGGCAGAGGGAGGCTCCCCAAAGATTGGGCACTTCATTTTGCCCCTGACTGCCCACCCACTGTGCCCTCCCCCCAGGACTCCCAGGTCCTGATAGAGCTGCACAAGTCGGGTTTCGCCCGCCCGGGCGACGTGGAATTCGAAGACTTCAGCCAGCCCATGAACCGTGCGCCCTCCGACAGCAGCCTGGGCACCCCGTCAGACGGACGACCCGAGCTCCGGGGCTCCGGCCGCAGCCGTGCCAAGCGCTGGCCCTTCGGCAAGAAGAACAAGGTGGGGGCCGGGGCCCTTGGGGTGTGGGGGGCGGCAGGACAGTGAGTGGGGACAAGCGGGGCCCCTACTGAGTCAGCCCCAGCTGCCTGAACGCGGAGTCCTGGGCAGGAATTTTCCTCTTGGCTGCCGGCCCGGGCTGGAGGGAAGGAAGGCGGGCGGCCCATTGGCCTGGGAGTCCCCCGAGGCGGAGGGGGGCAGGGTGGAGAGGCCTGTGGCGTCTGTCTGCTGCTTCTCAGGATGCCGGGAGAAGACCTGCTTATGGAATTCAGGGCTGGCCCGAGGGCCGGAGACACTGCCCCTGGGGACTTCCTGGGTGTTTCTCTGGGTCCCCGCCCCTCACGCTCTGTTTTCTTGGGGCTTTTTGGCTTTCGATGCTGGGGATATACCTTGACACCCTTGGTTTATACCTTCAACAACTCCCCTCTCGCTAGTGTAGACATTTGACCCCTGGTTTATACTACACTTTTGATCCTTATTGACTTAGAGTTTGGGACCCTCCTCAACTTCCACCTGCCACTGCCCGGCTTAAAGCTTCCACTCCCCTAACCCATCAGATATTTCCAGCCTCCCCTCTTCTCTCAGCCTGTTCTTTTTGGCCTCTGTGGCCCCATTCCCGTGTGAGACCCCGATTTCCTGCATGTGTCCGCCCCCACCTGCTAGACTGTGAGCCCAGAAAGCCGGGTGGGCAGACACATGGGCCTCCCCGGGGCCCTGCACTGGTTCCCGGATGTCCCATTCAAGGGACGCAGGAGATGTGGGTGGGACAGAGGGCTCTGCCTTCCGGCTCACAGTCTCACGTGTCCTTCTTGCCACCTCCCGGATTTTCGTGTTACTCTCGAGCGTGTTTTCCGTGTGTGCACATCTTGAGTTGTGGTTTTCTTACCGTTATTTTTTTCTTTCTCCATTTTGTTTTTTCCTTGTTTTCTTTTCTTTTTTTTTCTTTTTTTTGTGTGTGTGTTCTTCCGTCCATCCATACGTCCCTCCGAACTCATTCTCTACGTCCTCCTACCTCCCACGACCCTCCCGACCCATCCTCCTCCCCGGCCCCCGTCGGTAGCCTCGCCCCCCACCTCTCTCCCCCCTGGGGGGCCCCCTACCCTCGGCATTGCCTAACGGACCCCCGTCCCCCCGCTCCGGCCGTGACCCCTTGGCCATACTGAGCGAGATCAGTAAGTCGGTCAAACCGAGGCTAGCATCCTTCCGCAGCCTTCGAGGCAGCCGTGGGGTAAGTGAGGCCTCGGGGCAGGAAGACGTGTTGGCCCCAGCCTGCCCAGCGGCCGGGTGGCGGGACCCTGGGCTCGCTTCCTGCCGCTGGCTGGGCACCCCCTTCCCCGGTTGCCTGACTTAGACCTGCTTTGCTCTGTGCATGGCCCTGCCCCCAAGAACCTTGGATGGGGAGGAAGGTGGACTTGGTATGTCTCAGAACTGTGCAGAGCCTGGGCGCTTAGATGCCACGATCCCAAATTCAGTCCTCTCCCCACCTTGCAGACAGTGGTGACGGAGGATTTTAGCCACTTGCCCCCCGAGCAGCAGAGGAAGCGACTTCAGCAGCAGCTGGAAGAACGCAGTCGTGAACTTCAGAAGGAAGTGGACCAGAGGTAAGGCAGGGTGGGGGTGAGAGGACAGGCAGGAAAAGAACACGATAAAACAATAAATGAATTACATTTAAATGGAGCTCAGAGATCTCCCCAGCAAACCCCAGGCCCTGCTGGGTTTACAGGTGATTCCTGCCACACTTACGAGAAACAGTTACTTCTTATCTTACACAATTCTTTCCAGCAAGCGGAAAAGAGTGAAAGCCGTCAGCTTAGCTAGGAAGCTAGAGGAATCTGGATGCCCAAATCAGTGGCCAAGAAGTCAAGAAAATAAAATTACAGGCTCATTTTACCTCATTTGTCATCTTGGATGCAAATTCCTCGCCAAGCAAATCCGATGGCATATTCAAAAATAATACGTCACGGAGTGTTGCTGATTGCACAGCAGTGTGAATACACTAAATGCCCCAGAACTGTACACTTAAAAATTGGCCACAGTGGTAAATTTTATGTTATCTATGTCTTACCACAATAAAAAAATGTTTAAAAAAACTTAAAAAATCCCACAATCAGTTGGGTGTTATCCCCGTAATGCAAAGATAGTTCAATATCAAAACATGTATCAGTCTAATTCACCATATTAATTGGCTAAAAGAAAAAAAAAGCTATATAGTTGTCTGTTTAATAAACACTTAAAATACGAACAGTAAATTTCTGCCAGATTAAAAAAAAAATTCTTCTACTCTTTCCAAGCAACAAAATCCTCTTCCCAATCCTGTTACATAATAGGAATGACGTTTGCCTCTTGCGAACAGGCAGCCAAGTTATATTTTGCCGTCTGCATGTAACCTCTTGGACAAGATGGTTTTTATTGGTGTAAAGTTCCATTTGGAATACTGCAGTTCCTGGGTTTTTATGGCGGGGAGGAGTTAAGGGTGCGTGCTCTGGAGTTAAGAAGGACTGTTTTTTTTCATGAGACAGAGTCTCATTCTGTTGCCCCGGCTAGAGTGCAGTGGTGTCGTTGTAGCTCACTGCAGCCTCCAACTCCTGGGCTCAAGCGATCCTCCTGCCTCAGCCTCCGGAGTAGCTGGGACTACAGGTGCACACCATGATGACCGGCTAATTTTTCTATTATTAGTAAAGATGGGGTCTCACTTTTGCTCAGGCTGGTCTTGAACTCCTGACCTCAAGCGATCTTCCTGCCTCGGCCTCCCAGAGTGCTAGAATTGCAGGTGTGAGCCACCATGCCCAGCCAAGAAAAACTGTCTCGATTTCTATTACAGCTCCGTCTCTGAGGTCTTGGACAGCTCCCTTCATCTTTTTCTTCCTCAGTTTCTTCCTCTGTAAAGTGGGTCAGATATTAGAACTAGAAAGAAGTTAAGCCTAGGTCTGATATATTCCGAAGGTCTATTCTTAGAGACAGTCATTACCACCTATATGCAAAGACATAGAGGAGACAGATGGGAGACTAATGATGATAAGACCTGTGCATTTATTGATTGCTTACTGTATCCCAGGCACCATTCTAAACGTGGATTTATTAGAATTCTCAAATTTTCTTCAGAGATTATAAGTAGAGTTAGGGTCCAGACTTGTTTAGTGCCATATTTCTGATGCTTACAATAGTGTCTGGTAGGCAGTAGGCACTCAATAGTGAATAATTGAATAATAGCTAGGACTTACTAGGTACCAGGTACGTTCTAGTCCTTAGAATGACCCACACAAGATATATGTATCATTGTACCCATTTTCAAGGTAGGCACACTGAGGCAGGGGTTTGATAAGCCAAGGCCACACAACTAGGAAATGCTCACACTTTGAGATTCGAACCCGTGCAGTCTGGCACTGGCATTTGAGTGCTTAACCACCAAAGCAAAGCCTCTGGGATCTTTTGCTTGTTAAATCACACGGGGCTGCACTTTTTTTTCTGCCTGCCTGCCTGGTGCTAGGGAAGCCCTGAAGAAAATGAAGGACGTCTACGAGAAGACACCCCAGATGGGGGACCCTGCCAGCTTGGAGCCCCAGATCACAGAAACCCTGAGCAACATTGAACGGCTGAAATTGGAAGTGCAGAAGTATGAGGTAAAGCAAGGGCCCTGGGGAGGGGTGGGGGCCAGTGGGGCGGCTGAGTCACCGCCGGGTGGGGCAGGGGACAGGGAGATGCTGGGGTGGGTGGGTGTGGGGGGGGGTTCCAGCTGTTTCTCATCACAGCCTTGGGTGTGCATGGTGATCTCAGGAAACCTCCAGGTCCGGGGGGGCCTGGCCCCGGAGCCCTGCCCTGGAACTGATCCGGTCACCCTCTCCTCCCAGGCTTGGCTGGCAGAAGCCGAAAGCCGGGTCCTAAGCAACAAGGGGGACAGCCTGGGCCGGCACGCCCGGCCTCCCGACCCCCCAGCCAGCGCCCCACCAGACAGCAGCAGCAACAGCAACGCGTCACAGGACAACAAGGAGAGGTGAGCGGGGAGGCCAGAGCGGGTCCAGCCCCGGGGACCCAGGAAGGGCCCCTCTTTATCTGCCCAATTCTCCCGAACCAGCTCGGAAGAGCCTCCCTCAGAGGAGGGCCAGGACGCCCCCATTTACACGGAGTTCGATGAGGATTTCGAGGAGGAGCCTGCGTCCCCCATAGGCCACTGTGTGGCCATCTACCACTTTGAAGGTGAGGACGGCTGGGGTGGGCTCGTGGGTAGGGGCGCACAGCACTTGCTTGGGCAGAGGGTGTCTGTGGCTGGGTTCTGTTTAAATGTGCCTAACCCTAACCCTAAACCTGGGCCCACCCCCACCCCACGACAGGGTCCAGCGAGGGCACCATCTCCATGGCCGAGGGTGAAGGTCTCAGCCTCATGGAAGAGGACAAAGGCGATGGCTGGACCCGCGTCAGGCGGAAAGAGGGAGGAGAGGGCTACGTGCCCACCTCCTACCTCCGAGTCACGCTCAACTGAACCCTGCCAGAGGCAGGAAGAGGGGGGCTGTCATCTGCTGCTTCTGGGCCACGGGGGGCCCCAGGACCTGTGCACTTTATTTCTGCCCCCGTGGCTTTGGCTGAGACCTGTGTAACCTGCTGCCCCCCTCCCCGATCCCACGTGTCACTCCGAGTGGACCCGCTGTGCCTTCCACCACCGATGTACATACTCGTGTTTCAAAATCTTTTCTTCCTGCCGCTCGACTTGGGCCGTTTTGTTTTATATATAAAAAAAAAAATTAGATAAAGCTCTTGGAGTCTGTGCCTTGTTAGGGGATTTAGATACCCTGGCTGGATCTTTAACCTTGGTAGGTGTTTGTGACTCCAATATAGGGAGACATCTGTATGCAGTGGTGCTTACTGGAACAGGTAGTGTTTACTGAGTGTCTGCTGTGTGCCAGGCATTCTCCACCTACCCACGATCTCATTTAAACATCAAGCTTTAATCCCTGCAAACCCCTCAAGGAAGTACACAGTCTCGCTTTCATGTTGATGGTGGACACGGAGAGGTCAAGTGATGTGCTAGAAGTCACGCAGCTTTTAAGGGGCGGAGTCATATTTGAACTCTGGCCTCTGATGTCAGATGTGCAAGTTCTCTTACCATGTTCACAGTGTGGCTGCTGTTTTCTTAAGTGTCCCAGCTGCGGGGGGGTGGTCTTACAGTATATGGGAGGACCCCCCCACCCCCAGGATCCATGTGCATTTTTAGGGGGCAGGGTGGATTCTTGTAAACCTGCCCCCCTTCCTTCTGTTGGTGGGGACAGGTCTCCACTGCCTGTGGCTGTGTGAGAAACATAGGGCCATTCCCTTGGTCTCCTTGGGGGGGGGTCCCTAGGAGTCTTGGGGTCCCAGCCTGCTGCGCTCAGTGGTCAGGTTCCAGGCGCTGCGACAGGACGCTGAGGACGCGCTGGAACTTCTCAAGGCGTTGGGGTAGTGGCGCTCCCAGGCCCCGGCTACCCCAGAGCAGCCTCCGCAGGAAGCCGGTGGTCAGGGCCTCCCTCAGCTCCGAGTTAGGCCGGAATCCTGGAGACACAGTCAGGTGGGCTGAGGGCGGGCCCCAGACTCCCGCCTCGCCCCTCCCCCTCCCGCACCTGCGTTTCCTCTCCGGGACTTTGACCCAGCAGGGACCCAGAGGGACTCTGCCCTCCCAAGAGGGATGGCTGGGCGGAGTTAGTGGGAAGGGGACTCCTACGTCGCTGCAGGAATGGGGGTGGGGTGCTTGAGGGGCTCGGTGGGGGCGGGCTTTGCCAGGGTGCATGGGGGTGCCCCGTTCTAGGTGCAACAGTCTGGGGGGGTCCCACTTTAGGAGCTATGTCTGGAGATGGGGTGCCCCAGGGGCTGGATTTCAGGTCGCCAGGGAAGGTGGGGGTGTCCTGGAGGCTGGGCTGCCTCAGGAGAGAAGGGTGGCTCTGAGCGCAGTGAGGGCGCTGTTCTCCCACCAAGTTGAAGGACTGAGTTATTTTGGAGGGAGCTGGGTGTTCTTGGGGGTCGAGATCCTCTGGGGGCGGGGTCCCCACAGGTGGGTGGGTGGGAGGGAGTGGGGCCCTGGGGGCGTGGTTATGGGGGCGGGGCCGCCCCATTTGGGGTGGAGAGCCCTGATCCTGTCAATACTGCTTGATGCGGCAGGTGCTTGCAGTGAGGACCTCACGGGGGACGGGGGGGCCGTCCCAGTTTGGGTGGGACTGGGTGGCGTGGCAGGAGGCTCCCGTCCTGGGGCAGTTGGGTTTGTGGCATCCGGTTAGAGCAGGCTGGGTGTTCTTGAAGGCGGAACCCTCGGGCAGCCCGGCACAGGGGGGCGCTCACCCCGCAGGCGCTGGGCCGCCACCTGGCGGAATCTGGGCGCGTCTCGGGCCACCCGGCGCGCCCGGTGCAGGGTGCGCAGCAGCCGTTCGCAGCTCTCGTCCAGCGGGCCCCCGAGTTCCTCGCCCTCCAGCAGGCGCGCCGCGGGTGCCACGTGCGGTAGCGCCACCTCGCCGGGGTCACAGGGTCCTGCAGAGGGGGAGGGTCTGACCTGGGTTTGGGGCAGAAGATCAGGCATAGGGCCGAGGGGGCGCCTAGGACAGACCCGAGGGCGCGGCTTGGGGCAGAAGCCGAGAGCAGAGCCCGGCTGGTTCCAGGGCGGGGCCTAGGGTAGGGGCGGGGCTTGGAACGGAGCTGGGGCGGAGCCTAGGGAAAGGATCCAGATCTGAGTCTCGAATGGAGGGCGGGGCCTACAGAGAATGGGCGTGGCAAGGGCGGAATGGGGGCGGGGTTTGGGGCAGAGGTAGAAAGCGGAGCCTAGTGCAGGGCGGGACTGGGTTCAGGGCGGGGCATAGGGCAGGGGGCGGGGCTTGGGACGAGGCCTGGGCGGGGCCTACAGCGAATGGGCGTGGGTAAGGGCGGGATGGGGGCAGGGTTTGGAGGCCGACGTAATAGCGGAGCCTAGCGCAGGGCCGGACTGGTCCAGGGAGGGGCTTAGGGTAGGGGCGGGGCTTAGGGCGGAGGGGTGAGGCCTAGAACTGGATTCCTGTTAAACTTGGTCTGGGGCTGCAGAAGATCCTCCCGGACCCTCACTCACCAGCGCCCTCATCCAGAGCCCGCATCAGCGGCTTCAGCTCCTGCTCAAAGGCCAGCGCAGCCTCTGTGTGGCTCCGTCGGAGCTGGCGCCACGTGTGCTCCAACCGGGACACCTGGGGGAGGAGACCTGAGCATGCCTCCTCTCCCCTCTTCCCCCCTCTTCCCGGTCACCTGCGCTCCCGCTTCCTCCCATCCCTGCTTCCCACGCACCTGGGGCATGAGCAGGGCGCCCATGACCGCTGCCATCCCAGGCAGGTCCCCCGCCGCCCCTGGCCGCAGTGCCAGTGCCAGCTCTACCAGGCCCCTGAGTGCGGCCGCGCGTTCCTCCAGCGGCCCAGAGCAGCCCAGCACGGCCAGCGCCCCGGCCAGCGCCAGCGTCTCGTGCCTGCGGAGGCGGAGGGCAAGGGTCTGGGAACAGTGGGGAGGTTTGTAATGCGGGGGGTGAGGGGAGATCAGAGGTGGAGTTGCCCATCCCCCCTCTTCCCTGGGGGCCCGCGAATGGGGGAGATGTTTGCCAACCCTGGGGAGTGGGGGGAATCGGCCCCCCAACCAAGGTCCCAGGCGGCTGGCTCACCTCTCCAGCAGTTCCAACCTCAAGCGATGCCCATGGGGAAGCGTGAGCAGCTCCAGGCCAGAGGCCACCCCCATGTTGGCTCGCTGAAACCTGGTCACGCCCAGGAGGCCTGTGGCCTGCGGAAGGAGTGGGGAGGTCAGGTGAACAGTAAATATACGGGTGCCGTAGGGCCTTGCCGGGCTTCAGCTCTCTGCCTGGGGAGAAGCGACTTGGCAGGTGACCCACCTGGCAGTCCATCAACAGCAGGTGGAGGGCGGTGCTGTCCGAATGGTGCTCCAGGAACAGGCCACGGAGCTTACGCAGGACTTCGGGTTCCAGGGGCCGATTCTGGGGGCTCAGCAGGCAGGACAGAGTGTCAGGGGGACAGAAAGAGACCTCAGCCTGTGGTCTCCTAAAGTCTCTGTTCTCTTCTTCCTCCTCCTCCTCCTCGGTCTCCCACCACAAGGCCTCTGGCTCTGGCCATCTCTGACCAGGGGGTGTCTCCTGGGCACTGGCCACTCTAGGCACAAGCTCACAGTACGTTGGGGGGCGTCCAGAGGCATCAGGCAGCACCAGTGAGGGTGTCCGGGGGGGTTTGGTTGGTGCCTTGGCATGAAGCTGCCCATCGGAAGCCCTGAGAGTGTCAGCGACAGTCCCAAGAAGAGCTGGAGTCTTCAGCAACACCGGGTCGCTCCCTGTCCTGGGCAGGGCAGCTACGGGCATAGTGGAGGCTCCTGGTGTCACAAAAGAAGGGACAACAGGAGTACGCAGATAAGATAGCTGGGTGGGGTGTAGGTAGGGGTTTCACGGGCTACCCCCCTCTTAATTCTTCCATTATTCCGCCAATAACAGGGTATCCCAACCTATCTTGGTGCAGCTTTGAATGTGAACAGCTTCACCAACAGAAATGCTACACACTTACCCATGATTTGAAAACGTTTGGGCCATACTTTCCCCAGTTATCCACACTGTTCCCTCCTTCATTTCCTTCCATTTGTTTTCTCAATGAGGCCATTCCTGAGGACTATTAAAATTGCAGGCCAGCATGGTGGCCCATGCCTATAATCCTAGCACTTCGGGAGGCCTAGGTGGGAGGGTTGCTTGAGGCCAGGAGTCAGAGACCAGCCCGAGCAACATAATGGGACCCTCATCTCCACAAAAAATTAAAAAAAAAAAAAAATTAGCCAAGCATGGTGGCACGTGTCTATAGTCTCCACAAAAAATAAAAAAATTAGTTGAGCCTGGTGGAGCGCGCCTATAGCCCCAGCTACTTGGGAGGCTGAGGCAGAAGGATCGCTTGAGCCCAGAAGTTTGAGGTTGCAGTGAGCTCTGATGCCACTGCACTATAGCCCAGGCAACAGAGTGACACCTTGCTCAATGAATAAATAATAAATAAATAAATAAATTGCAATTTCCACCTCCATCCCTATTCTCCCAACCTCCCTAACTTTGTTTCAGTTTTTATCCCAAAGCATACACAATTGACTTATTGTTGTGCTTTATGGTCTGTTGTCCTTTAATAGAATGTTGGCTCCCCTCGGGCAGGGATCTTTGTTTTTCTGGTTCATTGGTGTGGCCTAGCCCTTAGGGCAGGGCCTGCCATGCAGTGAGGGCTCATGTTGAATGAGGCGGGAGGGGCGTGCAAAAGGAGCACAAGGGGACATGGGAGTGAGTCCTCTTTGAGGAAAGACAGGGTCAACTGCTTTGAGGAGCTCCCATTGGATGCAGAGGATCCACTCAGGAAAAGATTAGGAGAATGGGGATATTCCCATCAATGGTGGGAACAGCAAGTGCAAAGGCCCTGGGGGCAGAAATAAGTCTGGAAGTTTCTGCAAGCAGGGCTGTGTGACTAGAATTAGGAAGCTATGTAGCAAAAGTTGTTAGAATGGTCAGCTGTGGTCAGAAAAGATAGGGCTTCTTGGAATAATTGTAAACAGGTGTTTTTAGGCACCTCCAAAGTCCTTGTGTGTTTTAGATCACTGTGACAATGTTGAGGACATGACTAGCCCCATTTTCCAAAGCAAGAAGTTGAGGCTCTGAGAGGTTCCATCACCTGCTCAAGACCGCTGAGGTGGCGAGCGGCAGAGCCAATCTCTGAGCCATGTGTTGTCCCGGTAGACTCTCACCTGGTTCAAGGTGGTCTTCTCTTGACCGCCCCATATGCGACAAGTCTGCAGGCTGACTGTTGCTCCACTTCCTTTCCCTGCAGGGGCAGAGGTGAGAGAGACATGTAGTCCCAGCCTAAGCAGGGCAGCCCTCACCAATACCCAGAAATCCCTGCATCCGGTCACCCTATGTCAGTGGGTCTACTCAACCAAGGTGAGCTACCTCCAGGGGATGCTTGCAATGTGTGGAGACATCTTTAGTTGTCACAACTAGCAGGGAAGGGAGGGTGGCTTGCTACTGACATCTAGCAGGTGGAGGCCAAGGATGCGGCTCAACATCCTACAATGCACAGGACAGCCCCCCAACAACCAAGATTTACGGGTCCCTAAATGTCAACAGTGTTGACGCAGAGAAACATGGGGGCGGGGGATGTCGGGTGTTTTCAAGGAGGTGGAGAAACTGTGAGTACCTGAGAGGCTCTACCCGAGCCGGGCTGTCCATAAGGGCGTCCTCACTAAAGCTGCGCTGCAGAAGCCCCTGCCGAGTCACAGGCCTGCAGGCCACAGCCCCTGTGGCCTGGGACAGTGGGCGCTGGCTGATCACATAGCTGCGAACCAGGGCAGGCATGCTGGGGAATTGTTCATCCTCCAGCTGAAAGAGGGCTGCAGGCCGGCCTGGCCGGGGACGCAGGGCCACACGGAACACCTCAAAGTGGAGGACTGAGCCCTGCCAGCGACAGGAGATCACAGGGTGGCCCCCACGGGACCCAGAGGCACGAACCAAGAAGTCACCATCTTGCTGAAGAAGAGTTTCAGCCTTCTGTGTATGGAGGACAGCGGGCAGGGGGCTTAGGAATGAGCCCAGACCAGCAGTTAGTGGTGACTCCCTCCCTGCCGCCCTCCCAAGAAAAGCCACCCTACTGAAACCTCTGTGGCAGGTGGAGACTAGGTAGCTTTGCAGCAAACCCCTTTCCCCTTCCTCATGGACACCTGTGTGGACTACATTTCCCAGGCCCCCTTGCAGCTAGGGTCATCATGTGACAAGATCTGGCCAATGGGATGTGGGATAGAAGTGCCATGGGAAACGTCCGGACCTGGCCCATAAAACCCTCCCGGTTCTGACCCATTATCTGTCAGCTGGATATCCCCAAGCCCCTGGGGGTGGTAGAACGACAAGATGGACTTGGCCCCCAATTGATTTTCTAAGCTATACTGTCTCTCATGATTTTTTTTGTTGTTTTTTAGAGACCGGGTCTTGCTGTGTTGCCCAGGCTGGTCTCAAACTCCTGGCCTGAAGTGATCCTCCTGCTTTGGCCTCCCAAAGCACTGGGATTATAGACATGAGCCACCGTGCCTGGCCTGTCTCTTATGATTTCATTGGATGTTCAGGGTCCCAGGATTCCTGAGGGTGACACCTATGTTGGAGATGGGGGTGGGGAATTTCAAATTGAGAGGGAAATGCCAGGAGGCAGTTGGGCCCAGAGGGAGAGATGGGCAGGGCCAAGCGTACTTTTGGAGCCATTAGGACCCTCCTCAATCTCTGTCTCCAACCTCAACACCACCCCAAATAAAATGATAATTTAAATATAAAGAGTGACAGTTCCCAAGCAGCCAAACTTCAACACAGTCCCTAGCCCCCAGCTACCTCTCCCAAAAGACCCTGGCCCTAAGCCCCTCATCCAGGACCCAGGAGTCCTCGGCGGGTCAAGGGCAGGAGAGGCTCTCCCTGGATGGAGCTGAGGCCCTGCAGGAGGCAGTACCTGGCGGGACAAGGGGCCGTGGTACCAGGGTTGGCCAGCAAGGTCCTCTCCATCCTGTGGCACCTGCATGGAGCTCTTGGGGACAGAGGGTGCCAGGGCTGAGCTCCGCACTTTCAACAGGCCTCAGTCCTCCACATCTGTAAAACGAGAATAATTAGCCCTGCTTCCAGAGCGGCCGGGCCAGCTCCTCTGCTCCTCTTGGTCTTGGAGACAGCAGCCCATATTCTACTAAACCTTAAAATGCAACAATGTGACACACACACACACACACACACACACACACACACACACACAGTCAGCCTTCCATATTGGCAGCTATTGCACCTGCAGATTCAACCAACTGCAAATCAAAAATATTTGGAAAAGAAAACCACACAATAAAAAATAACAATACAATAAAAAACAATACAGCATGATAACGATTTACATAGTATTTACATTGTATAGTATTAGGTATTACCAGTAATCTAGAGATGATTTATATATTTTATATATATATATTTATCCAGAGATAAATATATATTTATGTATAAAAAATATAAAATCTGGCTATGAGTAACTTGTTTAATTTAGGGGCCGGGCGCGGTGGCTCACGCCTGTAATCCCAGCACTCTGGGAGGCCGAGGAGGGAGGACTGCTTGAGCTCAGGAGTTCGAGACCAGCCTGAGCAAGAGCGAGACCCCGTCTCTACTAAAAAAAAAAAAAAAAAAATAGAAAGAAATTAGCCAAACAACTAAAAATAGAAAAAATTATCTGGGCATGGTGGCGCATGCCTGTAGACCCAGCTACTCAGAAGGCTGAGGCAGGAGGATTGTTTGAGCCCAGGAGTTTGAGGTTGCAGTGAGCTAGGCTAATGCCATGGCACTCTAGTCCGGACAAGAGAGTGAGATTCCATCTCAAAAATAAATAAATAAATAAATAAATAATTAAAAAAAAAATTTAGGATCGGCTGTGATGTCACAGAAACAGCACGATTCTTGCAAAGGAAGAAGACGTAACATATGCGTCACTTTCAAAGGTAATGCAATTTTTATGAAGTGAACAAATTAATGAAGATGATGTCATGCCACCATGTTTTGTAAAAATGCAATTAACAAATTCACTGAACTCGTGTTTATGGGACACCAAGCTGTGCCAAACAGCTGTTCTAGGCACTAGAGACCCAGCTGTGTAGAGACCCTACAAAATGGGTAGGAAACCCTGCGGTCAGAGAGCTGACATTCTTCTTGCGGGGTGGTGACTAAGAAATAATTAGATGATAGACTACACCGGAGCGTGCTAGGCAGAGAAACTAAACCAGGGACAGGATATGGTCAAGGTTCCAGCGGTGGGGCAAAAATTTTTGATAACGTGGCCAGGTAGGATTTTGAGGAAGTGAGCCCGGTGACTCTCTGGGTAAAAAAACAAACAAACAAACAAAAAAACATTCAAGGCAGTAGGAATTTACCTTAACAAACATCCAAGGCTTCTCATCAGTCTATGTGCACACTCAGGGATTCTCAGGATGTGGGCAAACCTAGCCCATGCGTTGCTTTAGAATCTAACACCACAGTTCGGATCGTGAAAAGGTCACATTTTGTAGCAACGACAGCAAACAGCAATTTGGCATTTGCAGATTTTTCTTATATTTTGGAGCCAGTGCAATTTGTTATTAATATTATGATGGTCAAATTTAGGTCTCAGACATTTTGGTAGTTTCCTGATCATCTCGGAGGTCTCAGGGCCCATGTATCTCAAGTGTCTGGTGGGGAAAATTGCTCTGGATGGGAGGGAGGAGGAGAATCTGCTTCTTACTCTAATCCCCCAAGGTCTTCCGGGTCTGGAGGGGTCTACAGGGAAATAGCACCAGGATTCCAGCCTCCTGAGTCAGCAGGCTGCCGGCCTGGAAGGGGCAGGAAGTTCCCAGACCAGCCCTAGCAGCTTTAGGGGTGGAGAGCTGAGCTGGGCAGGGACCCATGCAGGGAGCTGGCTGCAGGCGCTGCATACCTGAAGTCAGGTGTGTCTTTAGAATGCCGTGCACTTCCTGTTTGCCGGCTGGGCCAGGCCCAGCCTTGGTCTTAGACACTGCCAACCCCAATTTCCTCTGTCTCGAGTCCCCTTTAGTGGGGAGGGCCAATGTGGGACAGTGGCACGACTTGTTAGTTGGGGGACGCACGTGTGCGTGGCGGGGGTGAGGTGGGGGAACACCAGCATAGAGAACATGGACACAGACGGACACGAGGACTCAACACTTGACACTGAGCAAACATTGATTGGTTGAGCACTCACTGTGGCCAGGCTCGGTCCTAACCCTGGAACTACAATGACACTAAAGATATCAAAGCCCCGCACCACCCCGCCCTGCCCTCCAGAGCTCACACGCACTCTGCTCCGCAACACAGACAGACAAGCGCGCAATGAATGAAAAAGATAATTTCTAAGAGTAATCAATGAAGGTGCTAAGACAGAGAGATTTGATAAAGGGTTGGGGGGTGGACAGGCCGCTTTAAATAGCAAAGTCAGGACAGACTTCTCCCGGGAGGTGACATGGGAACTGAGACCCAGTGCAGAAGGCGGCGGTTCGGGAAAGATTTAGAGCAGGAGTCCAGGTGGGGGGTACAGCAAGCGCAGAGACCGGGAGCTTGCTTTTTAATATTTTACATCGTCAGGGAGGCCGGTGTGGCTGGAGCACAAGGAACGAGGAGCAGAGAGGAGGAGGTGAGGCTGGGGAGACCAGCAGGGGAGGCCACGCAGGAACTGGTCCACCCTGAATTTTAAGCTCAGCGGGACGGAATGGGGAGTCTTGGAGGAGTTTTAAGTGAAGGAGGGACACGATCTGATTCACGGTTTAAGAAGATCACTCATGCAAACAGAAACAGAGGCTTTCGGTGTTGCACAGGAAACACACCCAGAAGCACACGCCCAGGTACATACACCTGGCTACACAGACATGCGTGGCGCACGGCGACCCACCCACTCGCTCCCTCTGCGACCTCTCCCACGTCCGCGGACGCGTGGAGGCAGATCCCCGCAGATCCTCCCTGACAGCCGCTGGCCCGCCTTGCACAGAGAGGACTCCCCACCCTGGTCATCCCCTGATCTCTGGGCCCGGGCTCCACTTACCAGGGCGGGACCCGCGGGGCTCCCACGAGCCTGGGGCCAGGCGGAAGCCTGAGGCTCTGCGGCTCCGGGCCGCTGCCCACAGCGCCACCCGTCCCCGCCCCAGCCACGCACCGCCTCCCCCGGGCCGCACCTAGCGGGAACCGAGCCCTGTCACCTGTCCACGCCCTCTCCAGACCTCGCCCCCACACAGACCCCGCCTCCAACTCTAACCCCTCAGGCTCTCGCCCCGCCCCTTGTTCCCGCCCCGCCTCCTTAGACATTTTTTTGGTTACTAACCACGCCCCCTCTGGAATGTACCTCTTCTCCCATGTTCTGCCCCTTCGGGGAACTCAGCGCATCCCTTCCTTCCGACGGCCCCGCTCCCTTGAACGTAGCCCCGCCCACGACTGGCCAAGCCCACTTGCACCCTCGCCCCTTCCTAGTCCCGCCCCTGAGAACCCCCTTAGACCCCTGTGGGGTGGGGGTAATGTCTCTCTCCCCACCCCCGTCCCCAGGGTTCCGGGTGGGGGCGGGGCAGCTCCCTGGGACTCTCAGGCCTGGACAGGGGTGGCTGCTGCGGCTGTGACGTCCCAGAGAGGAAGGCGCTTCCTCCAGACTGCCCCCGTGGGTTTCCCGGAAAGGAGCCCCAGTGGGGTGGCGGGTTTTGTGGAGGGAGATGCGGGAAGACACGACAGCCTCCTCCAGAGCCAGCACGTTGCTCGTGCTGGGCGGACCTTTGGGGTTGTTGAGGGCAAAGCCCTCAGGTGGTTTCCCAGGTGGGAGGGAAGTGGAGGGGCTTCCATCACGATGCCCGGAGACGAGGAAAGGGGGCCACGTTGATTAATAAGGGCTCATCCTAACAGTCTTGAAAGCTGTAGCCGCAGCAGCTAGCATTTACTGAGCGCTTACTGTATACCAGGACTATTCTGCTTGCTCGGCCTTCCTCAATGTATTTATTAATAGTCTTAACCTAGGCCACCCTACGAGGGTGGTAGGTGCTATTTTCATCATCCCCATTTTCCAGATGTGGAAACTGAGACACCGGACAACGAAGCCATCTATTTGCCCAAGTTAACCCAACTCGGGAGTGGTCGAGGTGGGATTCGAAACCGGAGCCCTGGGGCGCTATCCTGTCTGCCTCGCTTCTGCCGCTATCTCTGGTCCTGAGGATATTTCCGTGCTGTGGAAGTTACTCACCCATTTTACAGATGAAGAAAGTGATGTGAAGAGAGCCAAAGATGCTTGGGGGTGAATTTTTGGTGCTTGGAGGATGGCAAAGCAGGGAATTTCCAGGCTGGGCTCCCCCCAGCTCCCTGCCAACATGGAAAAGACTCCTGGCTCAGAAGGGTCAAGAGTTTTTCAACCTGAACACCATCCTGCCTAGTTTGGGCACAGTAGGAGGGTAGGGGCCTGTCCAGTGAAGGGGTCTAGCGCCTCTTAGTGGTTACAAGAATTATCAAAGAAACCCCGAGGCGGGCAGCGGGTCAGATTGAGGGGGAGGGGGCTACTTACCGCCTAGCTGGGTGGAAAGTGGGTGGGGGAAGAGACCTTGTAGTGAAGATAATTTCAGCTAATAATTATAACGTAAGGGCTACGAAGACAGTAAATGTTTGTTAAATGAATGAATGAATGAATGACACTATCACAATCTGTAAGGAGAGGGATAATACTGGCTTGGATTTGTTGGGTGGCCACGGTTGGGATGTTAAAAACATGGATTTGGGATATCAGAGATGGAACCAATAGAGCTTTCAATCTTTTTTTTTTTTATTATTCATTCAACAAATATTTATGGGTATGTGCCAGGTGCTGGGTGGGGGAGGGGCTAGCAGTGAACAAAAGAATCACAAATTCCTAAGGAGACAATAAAGAAATAAGTATAATGAATATCCGGTTGGTTGGAGGATGACAGAGGCTTAGATAGAGGTGGGTAGGATGGGAGGGGATGGGATGGGGGAAGGCTGCGATTTGAGATTGGGGAGGACCTCATGAGAAGGTGATATTGGAGGGAAGACCTGTGGGAGGTGAGGGAGTTAGCCAAGAAGTTGCTTGAGGTGGAGGACACAGCCCGTGCAAAAGCCCAGAGGCAGGACCACGCCTGCTGTGTTGGAGGCACATCGAGGAGGCCCCTGTGGCTGGAGCAGAGAGAGCGCAGGCGACAGAGGGAGTAGCGGAGGGCAGGGGAGTGATGGGGGCAGATTGTCCAGGACCTGGTGGGCTGCAGGGAGGACTTGTGCTTTTACACTGAGGAAGGTGGGAGCCATGGAGGGCTGTAGGCAGAGGAGGGCTGGGGACCCGACTCAGGTGCTCACAGGCGCCCTCTGGCTGCTGCAGGGAGAGCAGACTGTGGGAGGCGCGGCGCAGGCTAGATAGAGTCAGGGGACCAGGCCGAGGTGAATGCGCTGGTCTAGGCAGTGATCGCGGGCTTGAGCAGGGCGGAGGCAGAAAAGGAGGTGACAAGTGGGTGGATTCTGGGTATGTTTCAGAGGCGGCACCGCTCATCGCGCCGATGGGTTGGACGTGGAGGAAGGCAGCCGGGCTCCCGGTCTAGCTAGCCTGACTCCCCCAGCGCCCCACTGCCCGGTGCCCACGTCTGTGTCCAGCTGGTGGGGGAAAGAGAGGCCAGATCCAGTGTGGAAGGCGCGGGGTGGAGCTGGGCTGCAGGTGCTCCCCTGCACCCCACGGCTCCTCCTCCACCCCCTCCCAGGGCGACAGTTACAGGCAAAGAAGAGGAAGTGGTAGCACTAGCTGTCGCTCCACGGGCGGGCGGGTGGGCGGTGGAGGCCTCGAGGGTGCACGGCCCGCCCGGGCAGGCAGCAGCCATGGAGCTGTGGCGCCAGTGTACCCACTGGCTGATCCAGTGCCGCGTGCTGCCGCCCAGCCACCGTGTGACCTGGGAGGGGGCTCAGGTGTGTGAGCTGGCGCAGGCCCTTCGGGATGGAGTCCTTCTGTGCCAGCTGCTCAACAACCTGCTGCCCCACGCCATCAACCTTCGGGAGGTCAACCTGCGGCCCCAGATGTCTCAGGTGAGCGCGGCGCTGGCCGACGTGCCCAGGGGTGGAGGTGGGGGACGCCCCTGGCTGACACAGGCCCTCCTAATGCACTCCACCTCTAGCCCAGCAAAGTAGGGGGTGGGCGGGGGTGGCGAGGGGTGTGCTTTGAGGTCTGGGGCTGGCTCACGGTGGGTGATAACACTCGGAGATTCTGGGGTGCCCCCCAAAGGTTAACGAGCCCCCTGAATGGGTTAATGGGCTGAGCTGCCCTGCATCTAGGCTGAGAACTGGCAAACAAGGGGTTAACTCTCCCAAGCCCCAGGCTGACCTTACTGGGTGGGGTTCAAGCCTCTATATGTATGGGGCCATCTGGGGGGTCAGTCCTGGGGGTGCCTCGGAACCCCCTGGGTGGCCTGAGGTTTTGGAATCCTTTCTCCCCCCACACACACCCCCAGATTCTGGCTGTGGGGGAGGGGCCTCCACCGACTTCTTCCCCCACATGTGTCTCCTCCTCCGGGGCCCTGGGCCCCTTCCTTCCCCTCACATCTTCCTTCCTCTTGGCTTCCTGCCTGGGTCTGGGGCAGCGTGGGGCGGGCGGGTAGGGGGCTATGGGTTTCCCCTCCGCATCCATCCCAGGTGGGCGACATTGCAGAAGGGCCTGGTCTTGGGCTCCGAGAGCGGGTCCTGGGGTTTTGCAGTCTAGAAGAGCTACACTCTCTGCAGGGATTTCTGCAGGGGACCGGGTTCCTCTGGGCTGGGGCTGAGTGGTGAGGTGGATTTTGACTGTGGCCGCCCCCGCCTGGCTCAGGAAATATATTCAAATCCCTATTTGAATGCGGTTGGGGTGGGGGTGGTTATGGGGACTGGATCCTGTCTCTGTAGCACCTTGTCTGGGTGCCCAAAGCGGCTGGGTGGGAACAGGGAACGGAGGGGGGTTGGCTGTGCCCCGCCTGTCCTGGGGTGTGAGGGACACGGCCCTGCCTGAGGGTCTGCGGGGACAGCTGCCTTCTGGCCATTCCTCTAGGACGAAGGTCTTGTCCTGAGGATCCATGGTTTGGGAGAGGGCCTCCTTGGGACAGCGGGTGGGAGGAGGCTGGCTGGGGCATGGCCGCCTCACTGTTCTGGGGTGTCAGCTGGGAGAAAGAGAAGTAACTGCTCCTGGTGGTCCCTGGGGGGTTTCCAGGGGCAGAGCCACTGGTGGAAGAGGTGGGTGGGCCTTTGGTCCTCCTGTTTCCTTAGTGCCAGGGGCTTACCCCTCCTCAGCCTGGGCAGGGCTTCCCGAAAGGAGGAGGGTGCCCCCGAAAGGAGGAGGGAGCCCCCGAACCCAAACACCCTACCCTACCCACCCCACACACAGCCCCTCTGGCCACAGGCCATCCCACATTTATTCACACCTACTTGAGCTCCTTCTGGCTGCCAGGGCATGAGGAACTAGCCACGGGACCTGCCAGACCCCAGACCTGGTGGGGGGTCAAGGTCCCCTGTGATAATTCAATAGCAGCTAACGGGAAAGTGGAGGGACTTAAGGATGAACGTCCACTCCTGTGTGTGTCTGAGCTATAGCCGGTTTTCTGACGCAGGCAAGGGTGTGTGGCACTGATCTCTAGGGGAGCAGATGTAAGGCCTGGCCCTCCAAATGCTCCCAGACTAGGGGAGACCCTGTGTGGTCTGGGCTGGGAGCCGTGGGGTGAGGACAGGACATTGCCTGGAGAAACTGGGCTTTATGCAAGAAGGGACATTTGTGCTAGGATTTTCAAGAGTAAGTAGGAGTTTTCTCATTGTACTGGCTTCCTGTGCTCATCTGTGTCAGGCCCCAGGCAGGGCAGGGGTATACCCTGACCCTCCCCATCTGGGAGGGGCCTCATTCTTGCCCCTGCCCATTTTATCTCCTTGTGAAGCTCAGCCCTGTACGTGGTATGTCGTGGGAATATGTGTAGGAAGCTGAAAGGTACTGACAATATGCTAGAGGAAGGTGCCACAGGAAACTTTCTGGGTGTCTGGGTGTCTGTCTGTCAACAGATTTAAGGTGGGTCCATGAATGGCCTACGTGAAAAGGCAGAGAGAGGAAAGGGAAGGTGCTCCTCACGGGGCAATGGCATACGTAAAGATGTGGAGGCTGGAATTAGAGTTCTTCCAAGTTCCTCTCTTTCTTTTCAGAGTTCCTCACTTGTGCTCAGTTGTTTCCAGGGAAGAGGGTGGAAAGAACATATTCATCCATCCATCCACCCACCCATCCATCCATCATCAATCCACCCACCCACCATCCATCCATCCATCCATCATCAATCCATCCACCCACCATCCATCCATCCACCCATCCATCCATCATCAATCCATCCACTCACCATCCACCCATCCATCCATCATCAATCCATCCACCCACCATCCATCCATCCACCCATCCATCCATCATCAATCCATCCACTCACCATCCACCCATCCATCCATCATCAATCCATCCACCCACCATCCATCCATCCATCCATCCACCCACCATCCATCCATCCACCCACCATCCATCCATCCACCCATCCACCCACCATCCATCCATCCACCCACCATCCATCCATCCATCCACCCATCCACCCACCATCCATCCATCCACCCACCATCCATCCATCCACCCACCATCCATCCATCCCCACCCATCCACCCACCATCCATCCATCCACCCACCATCCATCCATCCACCCATCCACCCACCATCCATCCATCCACCCACCATCCATCCATCCACCCATCCATCCATCCACCCACCGTCCACCCATCCATCCATCATCAATCCATCCACCCACCGTCCATCCATCCACCCACCATCCACCCATCCATCCATCATCAATCCATCCATCCACCCACCATCCACCCATCCATCCATCATCAATCCATCCACCCACCGTCCATCCATCCACCCACCATCCACCCATCCATCCATCATCAATCCATCCACCCATCCATCCATCATCAATCCATCCACCCATCCATCCATCCATCCTATGATCCAACAATGACAACACAAGCCAGGCCCTGTTCTTGGGGCTGGGGACAGTAGGAATAAGACACATGCAAATCCCTGTTATTGAGGAGACTGCATTCTAGCGGGGGAGGTCGAAAGTGAACAAATACAGGAACGTACACATAGTCAGGAGGTGGTACCTCCCGCTGTAGAGGAATCCAAGCAGGAAAGGAGGCTTGGGAGTGTATGGGGGGCACCTTTGAATAGGGGGATACAGGAGGCCTGACTGATAAGGTCACATTGGATCAGACACCTGGGGACAGTGGAGGAAGGAGCCCTGTGGATTTGGAGAAAGGGTGTCCCAGGCGGTGGGTACTGCCAGTGCAAAGGCCCTGTGGTCCGTGTCTATACATTCAGGGCGGTGACTGGCCTGGCTGGTGGGAGTGATGAGGGCAGGTCAGATTGGAGCGAGTCTCCAAACCGGTGGGTCCCTCTGAGATCTGAGGCCCAGAGAGAGCAGGATGCCATTATGAACAGCTGCAGCTACAACCCTCCTTGAAGTCCACAACCTGCTGCAGAGCTGGAACTTGAAGGCCAAGGGAGTGGAAAAGAAAGGAAAGATTGTGGCGAAAATCCACCAGGATGTGGGGGCTGATTAGACTCAGGGTGGGAGCAAGTGTTGGGGCCCAGATGAAGTTAAGGTCCCCAGCCCTTAACTTAAGGAGTTTGAGGTTGCAGTTTTATCACTGTGTGAATATCACAGAGTTGCACTTACACCTAGCTATGTGGTACAGCCTATTGCTCCAAAGCTACAAACGTGTACAGCAGGTTACTCTACTGAACACCGTAGGTAACCATAACACAGTGGTGAGTATTTGTGTATCTAAACTTATCTAAACGTAGAAAAGGTAAAGTAAAAATACTGTATTATATATAATCTTATGGAGCCACCATTGTATCATATATGTGGTCCATCATTGGCCAAAACAGCCTTATGTGGTGCACGACCATGTTACTATTGCCGTCATATTTATTATTATTTTACACATGAGCAATATATCCATGTGATAATTTTTTTTTTAAATGACAAGGTCTTGCTCTGTCACCCAGGCTGGAGTACAGTGGCATGATCACAGCTCACTGCAAACTCGAACTCTTGGGCTCAAGCGACCCTCCTGCCTCAGCCTCCCGAGTAGCTGGGACTATAGGTGCCACCACCATCCCTGGCTAATTTAAAAATTTCTTTTGTAGAGATGGGGTCTTGCTCTGTTGCCCAGGTTGGTTTCAAACTCCTGGCCTCAAGGGATCCTCCTGCCTCAGCCTCCCAAAGTGCTGGAATTACAGGCGTGAGCCACTGTGCCTGGCCCAGAAGTGGGATTCATGGGCTAAAGTGTATGAGCTTTTGTGTTTTTGGTAGATGTGGCCAAGTTGTTCTTACAGGATTCTTTCCACACAGATTGTTCCAATTACACTACCACCGGCAATGCTCAGTTGTTCTTATTTCAGTACCACCTCGCTGACAGACTGTTCCGTTGTCAAACTTTGGGAGTTTTGCCAGCTTGATGGGTGATAAATGAACCTCATTATGGCTCAATTTACATTTTCTCTTATTCTGAGCAAGGCTGAGCCTTGTTTCCTGTGTCTAAGAGCTATTTATATTTTCTCTCTGCGAAATAATATCTGTTCCTCTCATTTGCCCACTAATATTGTCCCCTTCTAGAACTACTGACCTTTTTTCTTATTGATTTTTGGGAGCTCTTTATATATTAGGCTGTCTTGAATTTCAAGTCAGGTACTTAGTAGTTTTGTGATCTCAGAGAAAAAACAAATTACTTAACCTAACTGATCCCTGAATGTTGTATCTATAAAACGGGCATGTTGATAGCACCTTTATCTCAGAGAGTTAAACATGATAAGGTAAGTTAAATTCCTAGCACGGTGACAGATATAGACGGCAAGTGCTAAATGCATGGGAGTCATTATTTTTGTTAATTTGATTTCATTCAGTTGCCTGTAGGCCATGGTATGGAAGTTGGGGTAGGTAATGTCAGCCGCTATAACAAATTGCGTTGTTTCAATG